GGCTACTGGAGACAAATAAAGCTTTTGTGCACAGCTGCAGCAAGGTGGGATGGTGCCACGGGCTCCACCAGCTCTCTGCCAGGTATGGTTGGGCACCGTATGGCTAGGAGGTCCCGAGACACAGTTAGGTGTCATATGGCTAGGAGGTCTCAGGACTGTGAGGTTTGTGGGCATTTATGGACTCCAGGCAGCAAGTCCTGCCTTCCCACATGGCTCATGTATGAACTGGGAGTAGACCTGTTTATATCAGGGATGTGTTTGGTATATAGGATCTCTTTAGTGGCATCCCAGGAGGGATGGGAGCTGTGGATGTAGACTTCAGGTAGCCATCAGCATCAAGGTTTGTGGGTACAGGATGTGGGTGCAGGCACCTGACAGGACATCAGGGAGTGTTTGCCCAGGTCTACCTCTGCTGCTTCAGTGTTGACGGGGCACGTTAGAAGCTTCATTGCGGTAAGGAGTGTCCTCTCTTGTCACCATAGTGGTAAATTTGTGCAGCCTCTCTGGGTCTGTATGATGTGTGTCTGAAAAGGAAACGGGAAGGAGCTGCAAATGGAAATTTCAAGCCGTCAGCAATAGAGCAAACCCCAACCAACTTCCCATAGCATGAGTGGAAAACCCAGGCCGTGCACTCGAGCTTCAAGTGACAGGAGACACTGTACTTCTGAAATCAGCAAGTGCTGGAGATACTGTGAAAGAAGTGACTTTGTCCTGGCTGTATCTGCCCCTGGAGAGGGGACAGGCTCAGGCCCGGGTTGGAGCATCCCCTGGCACGGCTCTGCCCTTTGCCTCTGAGCCCTCCCTGAGACGCTGTTCCTCTGGGCCAGCCACCCTTTTTTGTCAGGGGGATGGCTGTAGGAGGGGAGTTTGCCATATGTAAGAGCTGTGCTGTGCCACTTGATGACGGGTGAGAGAACACGCTCTGGTCTGGTTTGTTCACAGCATAAATCAGTGTCAAATTTGTCCTTAGCTTCACTGGAGATATCCCAGAGAGAGTCCTGGCCTGCGATGGCATTACACATGTCCAGCTGGCGTGAAAACATACGTGAATAGAGCAGGGAAGAAGATCTATGATATAAGAGCTTAACATCGGTATTGTCTAACTTGTCTGTACACCCATCACCTCAATTGAGAAATGGTCACCATGAGAAGATAGTGCATGGGGGAGTATTGTTACAGAGTGTACACTCGTCTCCAGTTAATTAATTTCTCATCCAAGGACTGCCAAGGGTGTTATCTCATCCCAGGAAAGAGCCACTCTCACCAGCAATATGATTTAACAAAAGCTACGAACCAAATGAGTTGTCAGCCTCCAAAACCCTCTTACCAATGGGATTCTCATTGCCTGTAAGGTGTGGTTTTCAGGTGGGCACTTAGATTCATTTGCTAGGTTGAAGGAGTTTATGCAATACGTGTGTATCTGTTAATTGATATAAACCCATCTGAGATTTGCCAGAATAAAAAGTTTAGCGTTGAAAGCGTGCAAGTTTTGCAGGCTTGCAGCATCCCACACAGGAGGTCATGGTGCTGGGCTGCATTAATAGGGGTAAAGGCCTCCTTCTGTGCATGTGTGAAGAGGAGTGAAAATGTCATTACCTCTGGTTGTTGCAGGCTCATAAATATAATTTTCTAAAGCTGTGAGCTTCAACTCTAGACTTGGTGGAAGGAGGAAGGGAAGAAGAAGGGAAGGAGAGGGGGTAATTTGCCTTGAAAAGGCTGGATAGCTGAATATGTGCTCTCTTGAATATGCTTAAAGTAAGAGAGCAGGGGATGCTGATAGAGTGCTTCACATTCAGGGAAAAGAGAGAAAAAAGAGTCAGTAAAAAGAGAGAGAAAAGAGTCAGAAAAAAGGGCATTTTCAGTCCATGGGGAGATGGATGGAGAGAGGACCGTACCAGAGTATGGGAAGGTAGGGACTTCATACAGCCTTGCTGCCGGGCTTGTTTTCTGTGCTTGTGGCTCAGGGAACTGGTAAAACTGGACTGGGACAGTAAAAGCTGTAATCCCAATTCATCATTTATAGCCTGCTCGTGTCCAGGCGGACACATCTAGCCCAGCCTTCTCAGATACAGTGAGCTGCTGCATTTCACAATCATGGGAAGGGTTCGCCAGCTGCACGATCCAAACATTTTGAAGTGCAACATGGTGCATTATATTAAGTTGGTTCAGACAATCAGCTTTAAACATCTGAATCTCATTTCTTGATGCTAATTCCTCTTGCTCAATCTTTATTTCAGCTGTGTGGAATTCTCAGACCTTTCTGACCCCAACTTATCGTTTCCTGATGTTTTATTGCTAAGTCATTGAGGTTTCAGGGAGGATGATGTTTCTAAAATGTGCACACCTTTGATTGTAGGCATGGCCGGCGTGTCAGACTGAACTTTTCATATGCTTTGTATATATCACTGTCTCCACTGCTGCGTCCTCTGCAGTTTCACCCATCGGCGCACTGATCCGCATGCCCCGTTGATGCAGTCCTCCTTAAAATGTGGTTATTATTTAAGGCTTTTCAAACGCTCAGCCTCTGCACACTACAAAACTCGATCCGAGCCTACGTCCGCTCCTGTCACTCATGTACAGGTTCCATCTGTTCCCCTTTTCCTCTCCCATTGCTGCTTGCCACATCCAGACCACATGCTGCTTATACATTGTACAACAGACATTTCTGCACACACACTTTTGAAAATGTGGCTCTTAGTGCTTTATTGTTCACATGTGTCTTGTTGCTTAAGGCAAGTTTTATCAGTAATGATTTTGTTGTTTACTGACACGTAGAATAAAATAGGGTACTGTTAAAATGTGACTGGAGGAGAGGAGAAGGGCCTTTGATACACCAGTTACACAATTTCTGCCAGCTTTCTGATCATTCCCCCCTGCCACCACTTCCCCAAGTTCCGTAGTTGCCCAAGGATAAAGCAAGATCCTAACATCACTTACAGCAATGTAAGGGCTGCTCCGCTCTGCATGAGGCTGCTCCACGTTGGTAAGGATTCACCAGCACCTCCTGCACTCCCGTGTCTGGTGAGGAGAAGGGGTGGGACCTTCTAGCACTCCTTTTCAGCAAGGCAGCCCTAGCTTCTGCTTTAGATCTCCTTTAAAGGTGCCCAGTGGCACCTTTGCGTAATTCTTCCATTTGGGAAAAGAAAAAAAATCCCTACAGAAGCTACTTCTGGAAATTAAATCAGTGCTAGGAAGGTCTATGAAGATGCTCCTCTTGCAGGAGCTGAGCTCACCTCTAGCAGCTCCCCCAGTGCGTGGACTGGAGCAGACCCAGAGGTATGCCATGACTAGGGAGTTTAGGCAGGCAGGTACCCTGGGAGCCATCTCAGGTCTCTCCCATCACACCTTGCTCCATACCTGTGGTGAGACCGGAGTATCTGCAAACAGATCACACGGGGTGCAACTCCCAGTGAAGTTCCTGGGTGTCTGCAGCGGGGATGGCACAGAGCCTATTGCACTGGATTATTGCCACCCGGGGATTTCCCGCACCAGGAAGAACCCCCAGCTGCCCAAAGCCTCTGGTTTCCCACCTGGAGAAGCCCAAGACCTGCCTGTGGTGCTGATCATTTCTGCCACTGGGGAAAGCAAAGGTTGCAGAAACCCACATGTGCTAGGAATAGACCCAGTTCCTGTCAGAGATTTGTTCTGATTAAAGCTTTCCCTACCAAAGACGGCGTCTGCTTCTGTCATGGAGACAGCCTGCTGCTCCCTTCCCAAGAAGAGGGGCACTTGCATCCCCCATGTGCAACCAGGAGCTGTGTGCTTGGAGCTGGGTCTCGGGGGCACGGCAGAGGGCACACCCTGAAGTGCTGCAGAGCTGATGCCAAGAGCCACATTTGGGAGGGCTGCTGAAAAGAAGACATGAGCACAGGAACATAAAGACCCTTCCACTTCTGTCCATGGACTACAGTCATGGCTCACAGGGTGTCTCATGGTTCCTCTTCCACCCTGTGGCTCCCATCCCACCTCTGCAGGTCAGCAAAAGTGGCAAGGAGACCCAAGCTCTCTTTCCCCTGAAAAGAGGTGGGCAGGAAAAGCCAAATTGTGTTTGCACCAAAATTACTCATCTTTTACAAATAAGATACACTGAATGTTTTGCGTACTGCCCTGTACCAAAGTTTGAGACCACTCATCGGCCAGAGGGGAGACAGGAAGGATACGAAAGCAGAGAATGGAGCAGAGCTCTTGGCAAGCTGTTGTAGATTAGAAAGGAGGCAGGTAGGAACAGAGACGAAGCAAGTGCTTTAAAGAGTTATTCTGGAGAAACAAGGGCTTTAAGTGACATTTGAGTATGGGAAAGAAATCAGTATCCGTGGTTTCCATTGGTGTTCAGAGTGCTAAAAGCAGAAGTGGTTGCTGGAGTCTGAACAGGAATCTGAGGCTGAGCTCTCAGCTTCCTCCCAAATTGGATGAGAAACTATTCACTTGATTTACAGGCTCACTGGCAGAAGAGGTCTTATTTTATAGAATTTCTCTTTTCTTTTTTTTTTTTTTTCAAACAAATTGCTTTGTGAGCAGTGGAACTAATGGCACTTGGTTTCCTGTGGATCTGTGACCCTTGCTTCATCGTCGCCTCCCTTCTCCCCCCTCCTTCTAAAAACAAAATAGCTGCCACAAGCCCAACTCTCCCCTCCCCATATGCTCTAAGACTCTTTGTTGGGCAGCAGTCAGGTCCGTATACGCTGGCTGACCAGCTAATGCATACACGGTCAGCCAGCGTGCACACACTCACAAGCCAGTTGGCTGCTGGCCGCAGATCTCTAATTCAGGTCTCTATCCCTCACCCAGCCATCAATCTGCACAAAATTTAGAAAGGAAATCAATACCTTTTGAAAATTCTATCTTTCTGTCCTATAAGAAATCAAGGTAAAAATTATTGATGGAGCCGGACACACAGATTGAATCTGAACTAAAAAGGTTGTGTTGCATTGCCTTGGGATGTACATGTAGGACGTCAGTCCAGGTTCTGGAATTCATTTCTCTCTCTCTCTCTTTTTCAGCTATTTTTACCCTGGATGTGTTCTGCGATTTGTTTCCCACACAGCATTGAAACTGGCACAGCTGAGGGGTGAGTGAGTGGTGGGAGAGGGGAAGGGGAAATCAGGGGATGCTTCTGTTGGCGCTGCTGCTGAAAGAAGTGCTCATCAAACGATAGCCTCTCAGATCTGTCTAACGTGGAGTCCCACACCGCCCCGCAGAAAAGCTGTGAAGATAAATATATTCACAGTCTTAAAGTGCTCACACACAGGGCAAAAAGAGCTAAAGAAATCAAGGCATCCTGGAAAAAAAAAAAGCACCAGAAACAGTGGCCAGTTTTGAAATGTAACATTTTCTGTCATAGTTCAACATCTCAATTCTGCCCACATTCCTGTGTGTACATCTCAAGACATCCCTTTGCGTAGGGTCTACTAAGAAAAATCCTTATAGTGGCAGCCCAGTCCCTGTCCAGAGTGCACATCGACTCACAGGATCCGTTCTAGAAAACCCCGATGAGCTGCTATCCATACAAACCTAGGTTGGAAGAACAGAGGTCTTATCTGGGAAATACATAGGAAAAAGCTTCTTCTTGAGCATTAATTTACACAATTAGACCTCTAATTGCAGAGCATTTCTTTTCTTCAGTTAACTATAGATGATTATAGTGTGTGAGATCTGCCTTTTCCCCCTGTGTTCTGTTTAACACTGTTTGTTAGACATGAAAGGAAAAGAGGATTAAAAGGGAGAGATGGTATCGTAAACAGCCCTTCAGGGTAGGTGGGAAAACAACAGTAACTCTCTCAAACAGAACACAGGGATGCCCTTAGGAAAAGGTTTTGAAAGTGTCCTGCATTTGAAAGTTAATGAGTAAATAGATCTCAAACATCACTTTAAAGACTGACAATGCCAGCTTTAACATCTCAGGCATGCACCACAACTGAGAAGAGACAAAGGGAATTTTTAATGGGCAATAAATGGACTAATATTTTTGGATGCAAAGCTAAAAGCGGGTTAGTTCTGATGGGATGTGGGTTTGTTCTGTACTTCCTGACACAGCGACTTTACTGTATTGGGTTTGTTTGCCTTACGCTATCTTTTGATGAGGCACCACTTTTTCCTTTAAAAAGGAAAAAAAAAAAAGTGGTCTTAGTAAATAATCCTCCTTCGAGCTACAATAAATCCATTGGGTATAGAGTTTGCTGGTTTTGGGGGTTGTGTAGGCTTGTGCCAGTCCACCTCTCTGCTTTCCTGTGATGCCTTTACTTCTCATCTAGCTCAGGTTGCCTGGTCATCTCTGCCCCTGCAGTGCTGCAAAATCACCTTGCATGGACATCCATCTCCATGCTGGTGAGAGGCTGGTGGGCAGGCACCCCTTTCCACCAGCAGATAACAGCACGGGCACTATTAGCCCTGCTGCAGGCATGCTCCTCTTATGTCCGGTGGATCTCAGCGAGGTCCCAGACTTGACCTCTCTCTTTGAAGCAGTCACGTACTCTCCCATACTTCAAATGAAGAAACTCTTGGTTACTGTGTTCCTGGATGTCAGGCGTTTTGGAGGAAAGCTGGTCTTATCTAGAGCTTTTGTACAACTTCTGTCACAGCCTCCTGACCCTCAGGGTCCTCTGTATATGGCTGTCATGAGTATTCAGTAGCTACAGTGGCTTCCACAAGCATGATTGTGCCTTTGTGGCCACAGGAGGAGCCCCAGCAGGAACTCCCAAAAGCAGGTCTCTCTTTCCTTCACCCAGAGCTGGCTCAAGGCATAGACAAAGTCACCTCTTGAGATGGCAGACTTCTATTTTGATTATGCCCAGAAAGACAAAAATGGATCAAAACCTGATGTGTCTGGGGTGAACACCTCCTCTGTGCCGCCTGCCCTCGGCTGAAGGGAAGACGCCCAGCCCCTTGCCTATTCCCAGCAGTCCATGGAGAGCAGAAAGAGCCACTACGTGGGGAGGAGGAAAGAGGAAAGGAGGGATCTTGCTGGGGAAGAGGGATGGGAAGGATGTGTAGGTTGGAACGGAAATCTTGTGTTAAGGAAATTGGCATCAAGCAAGGGTTGAGAGAGGTGGGGAAGGAGAGAAACAGAGAATTCTTATTTCCAGGCAAACACCAACGCTATCAAAATCCCCGTACATCTGGGCATGCCTTCACCTGCCTATCAAAACCCCACTGATGTCCTCCAGACCATCTACCCACCCAGGGTTCCTGAAACCATATCCCCTATTCCCAGCTGACTCTTGCTTATCCTCACACCTCAGAAATGCATAGACCGCTTTGCAAACCTTCTTTCTACCCCCCATTTCTCCCAAAACTCCTCTGCCATTACCACAACATCGAGACAGGCCTGCCTACACCAGTGTCAGCTGCCAGCCTGAAAAAAGAAGAGAGAATTGGCTCCCTGAGCTTTAGACACTCAGACACAAAAGAGCAGACGCCAGGCCTTGAAAGAACACATTAATAGTACCTCCACCCCTCTGTCACAGCTGCTTTCTGGCTCACTTACCATATTCCTAAGGGTCAGCCATCACCTTCCAGTGCTTTTTCAGTTGACAAAAACCACTTAGTTTGACTTTTCTGCTCAGTCATTATGCTCCACCTCTTCCAGAGCAACCAAAATCCCAGTCTGCTCACACCTTCATGCCAGACCCAGCCCCTCGGTGCTGCGGGATGTTCTGCTCCTTGGGAACCTCCCACCCTTCTCCCTGGGCTCAGTCTCTCGCCGTATGACATCCCGACCTGGTGCAGCATCTGCATCTCTGCAGGAGAGGTGCCCACACTCCTGCAAAGATCACTTGACTCCCCGTCCCTGCAAGCCTTAATACTTCAACGCTTGGACAGAGGGACAGGCTTGGCTCCTCTGTGTCCTCTTCCTCCCTTCTCAGAGCATTTTTCAGTACGTTCCTAATCTCCTTCTCATTAGCTTCTGGGTTAGTCTTCCTTGAGCTTGTCCCTATCTAAGTGACAGGCTGTCAAACAGGCACATATCCTTTCAGTTGATTTCCACCAGGGAACGCAGCTTTGAGCTGATAAGGGTATGGCTGATCTCCTGCCTCATCAGTGAGGACACCATGCGGGTTCAACTCTGCTGTGCCTTCTCTTTACCCTGTGGAAGTTACCACCAGCAAAAGGCAGAACTGTATTTAGCCAACCTTTCATACACAGATACATACCTACATACATATACAGACATATATATTTTGGCTCTACCGAATCCTGTCCCAATTTCTGGCATCCTTCTGAGCAACAGGAGCATAGAAGTACAGAAGGAAAAGAATACTGGGCTGCTCTATGTGTTTATGAGTGAGAAAGACTGCTTGCACCAAGTGGCTGTGTTCTTGAGTGCAGTCCCAGCCCCAGGCACTCAGAGGACACAGCCAACTGGTTCAAGGTTCTACCCAAGCTTGTTGTGAACCTTTTTGGAAAAACTCAAGAGTTCAACTTTCTTCTGGCTGATAAAGTCGGTATTGTGAAGAAACCAGAAATACTAGTCCTGCTCAAGAGCTGTGCTGCGCCCCAGGCGAGAATAGGATCACAGGCTTCTCCCTCCAAATAAAAGTGAAACAATGAGGTATTCTCAGTGCAGCCCCAGGTGGAAGGCCCTGATCGAAGGGGTACATACAGTGTGTGACTCCAAGGGTGATGGAGACAAGTGGAGCAAGGGAACATAAACCCATCCGGATAAAGGGTTTGCTCATGGTGCGGAACCAAAGAGGCGTTTCAGCCCCGTGCCTTCCCTGGGTGAAAGTTGGGTGGCCTCAATGCTTTGTTGGATTTGATTCACCAAGAACAGCATCACATTCAACACAAAGTGAAACACAGGGGGGAGAGAGGAACTGCATGGGCAGGTGTATCCGGACAAGCAGATGGAAGAGGTGAGTGCTTCAATACTCTTACGGCAAGCATTGAAGAAAGAAGAAGAGCCTGAAGAGGGCTAAAAAATCCCTCAAAATCCTCCTTACCATGCATGAGATCAAATACAGAGCAAGGGTACGTCTGGGACTTTTCAGTGGGAGAAGGAAGCCCCTCAAGCTAAAAACTGTACTCCCGTTTCCCAACCTTATCCACTGCCCAAAGACTGATAGCAAGCAGCAATATCAAGTGTGAAACACCAGCCTTAGTGGATATCAGTTTAGCAATCCCCAAATCCAAGCAAAAGCCAAATCCCATCACAGCCCAGGGGATGGCCAGTTTCCCAGCTTGTTTCCTGCTCCTTAAACATCAATTTATTCTTCAGAAAAAGACATTTGGACTAAACAAAACAGTCGCGTTCCACCCCTGAAAAACCACAATGATATCCCTTCCCTTCAGTCCCATCACTGCAGTGCGGTGTGGGGCAAAGTCATCTGTCCAAGTGCAGGCATCAAACTCAGATAAAAAGCTCCTGGGACTCCAGTAACTGTACTGACTGGGTCTCCACTGACTGTAATGGGCAAGCTGCGCTTCAGAACTCACTGACACCTCCCCAAAACCTTGTGGATGCACAGAGACCAAAAGCCAGACCTACAATGTGCTACAGAAAAATAACAGGCATTGAATGTGTCTCACGCCTGGCCATAGCAGGGATTATTTGGCAGGTATTTTGGAGTGAACACATCTAGACCCCTAACTATATTCCTGTCCAAAACTGGTGTGCATTTTTCCTTGGACAGCACCCAATCTGCAGAGTTAGTGTTTTCCACACAAAAATGCCTGGTTGGTAAACTTCCAAGAAGTTCTATTTTTGATTCAATGAAGAATAGCAGCTTTCCATGGAACTTACTTTTTCTTTCCTCCTTTCTCCCCACTCCACCTCTCCTCCTCCCCCCCCCAGAAAAAAGGTTTGCTCAAAAACCTATACATTTTCATTTGGAAATGCTACCTGGGGGCCCCATGGATGTCAGAGTTCATTTGTCCTGTTCTGCAGGAAGTTTAATGGTTTCTCTAGCCTAAAAGGAACTTCTTTTTACCTTGAAAAAATATGGAGGGAGGTTCCCCATCTTCACCTTTTCATTGAACTGTTTTTCCCTCCTCTTGAAGAGAGTGCAGCGGAGACCCTGCTGTAGACTTCTGGAAACTCACATTTTTTAACACTGTAATGCTTCTCCTGAG